GCGACGCATGGCTCCTCGTTCCTCTCTCCTCCCTCGTCGCTCTTTTTGTCCACCCTCAAGAACAACCGCGCTGGCAAGTGGGCGTTGTGGCCTCGGAGGTCTTGCCAGCAGGGGCCTACATCGCGCCAGTGCGCACGCATGAGCATGGGCATGCTACAGTCTCAGGCGAGAGCCCCCGCCCTATGGGGTCCGCAATCGATGTTGGCAATTCGAGTGGGTCATCGGATCCCTGTAGCTGTCGTCACTTTTCGGCTCTTTTAGATTGAATATGCAGGAAGTCTCGAGCGGGAGCTTTGTCAATGAGTGAATGGTGAGGAAGTCTCAGGCGAGAATGTTGGTAATCCGAGCGGGTCGTCGGATCCTTGTATTTGTCGTTATTTTGCTGTTCTTTTGGGCTGAATCTGGGCCTGAATCTTGACGAAGTCTCAGGCGGGAGCCTCGTCTGTAAGTGAATTGCGAGGAAGTCTCAGTCGGGAAACCTCTCCCTATGGGAACCCCATTTCCATAGTGGAATCCGAGTGGGCCGCCGGCAAACCTGCAACCTGGAATCCGGCCAGGCTCCTCCAGCATGGATACGGAGGAAGTCGGGTCGGGGACTTCTCGACAAGGGGAGGTCCCTGGGGGCGCGGCGGGGGCGGGGTCGGGGCGGGGGAAGAAGGGGAGAGAGGAAAAGAGGAAGGGAAGGCCCCAGATGATAGGAGGTCCCAGGAGCAGGTAATGAGGAGGGCGACGGCGGCCGGGCGCAAGGGGAAACCTTTGCGTCCAGGCTGTGGGTGGTAACCCATCCTCGGCAGAATCGGGGGCAGGGGGGAACCCTTGTCTCCGGGCTGGCGGTGGTAACCCATCGTCAGCCGAATCGGGCGCAGGGGGGAACCTTTGCGTCTGGGCTGGCGGTGCTAAACAATTGTCAGCCGAATCGGGCGCAGGGGGAAACCCTTGCGTCCGGGGGTGGTAACCCATCCTCAGCTCCTCAGCCGAATCCGGCGCAGGGGGGAGCCCTTGCGGCGTCCGGGGCGCTGGTGGTAGCCCATCCGCGCTCGAAACCAGGATTTCGACAAAAAACGTCTTGTGTTTATATCATGTTCGCCTGAGCGACTACATGGCCCACGAGACGGTTGCCGGCGCGTTCGGCCTCCGACGGAGGCGCCTGCATGGCAAGCGCCAGCGCCGAGCGTATTGGGCCTGAATGAAGCGCGGGTTTTTGAAACCACGGCGTTGGCCACGGCGCGACCAGCCGATTTTCCACGCTGTCCATTCTGCCACCCGAAGCCTTGTGCGGACGGTCTGGCTTGTTTTTCTTGCAGCTCGCAGCAGAGCTGGACTTTGTGCTGCCACCCGCCTGTGCGCGGCGGCGCCCCGCTCGAAGTTCGCGGGGTTGTCCCAGCGGCTTGGCCTCGCGCGCCAGCGGCTCGCGGGGTTGTCCCGACGGCCTGGCCCGCGGGGTTGTCCCAACGGCTTCGCGATGTGGCAATTCGAGGTGGGCGAGGCGGCGACGGCGCCAAGGAAAACCGACACTCGCGCTTTTGCGATAGGCTGAGGAGGAGGTCGCGGAGGGTAAACGAACAACATATCCCGGCAAAACAACCTAACAGCGATATGTAGAAGCATATTTGGAAGCATTCCCCTTCAGATTCAGATGAGCATCCAGTTGTAGAATTCTGTTGTTCTCGCAGTCGTAGTCGCATTCGCGATGACAGTCGCAGTGGCAACGGCAGTCGCAGTCACAGCCTCAGCCTCAGCCTGCCTCAGCCTCAGCCTCAGCCTGCCTCAGCCTCAGCCTGCCTCAGCCTCAGCCTCAGCCTTCAGCCTCAGCAGCATCAGTCTGCCTTCAGCCTCGGCCTCAGCCTCAGCTGCTCAGCCTCAGCCTCAGCCTCAGCCTGCCTCAGCCTCAGCCTGCCTCAGCCTCAGCCTCAGCCTGCTTCAGCCTCAGCCTCAGTCTGCCTTCAGCCTCGGCCTCAGCCTCAGCCTGCCTCAGCCTCAGCCTGCATCAGCCTCAGCCTCAGCCTCAGCCTGCCTCAGCCTCAGCCTCAGCCTCAGCCTGCCTCAGCCTCAGCCTCAGCCTGCTTCAGCCTCAGCCTCAGTCTGCCTTCAGCCTCGGCCTCAGCCTCAGCCTGCCTCAGCCTCAGCCTGCCTCAGCCTCAGCCTCAGCCTGCCTCAGCATCAGCCTGCCTCAGCCTCAGCCTCAGCCTGCCTCAGCCTCAGCCTCAGCCTGCTTCTGCCTCAGCCTCAGTCTGCCTTCAGCCTCGGCCTCAGCCTCAGCCTGCCTCAGCCTCAGCCTGCATCAGCCTCAGCCTCAGCCTCAGCCTGCCTCAGCATCAGCCTGCCTCAGCCTCAGCCTCAGCCTGCCTCAGCCTCAGCCTCAGTCTGCTTCAGCCTCAGCCTCAGTCTGCCTTCAGCCTCGGCCTCAGCTGCCTCAGCCTCAGCCTCAGCCTCAGCCTGCCTCAGCAGCATCAGCCTGCCTCAGCTCAGCCTCAGCCTGCCTCAGCCTCATCCTCAGCCTGCTCCTCAGCCATGCCTCAGCCTCAGTCTCAGCCTCATGCTTCACCTCGCCTCAGCCTCAGTCTCAGCCTGCTTCAGCCTCGCCTGCCTCAGGCTCAGCCTCAGCCTCAGCCTCAGCCTGCCTCAGCCTCAGCCTCCTGCCTCAGCCTCAGCCTCAGCCTCAGCCTCAGCCTCAGCCTGCCTCAGCCTGCCTCAGCCTCAGCCTGCCTCAGCCATCAGCCTCAGCCTCAGCCTGCTTCAGCCTCAGCCTCAGTCTGCCTTCAGCCTCGGCCTCAGCCTCAGCCTGCCTCAGCCTCAGCCTGCATCGGCCTCAGTCTCAGCCTCAGCCTGCCTCAGCCTCAGCCTGCCTCAGCCTCAGCCTCAGCCTCAGTCTCAGGCTGCCCCAGCCTCAGCTTGCATCAGCCTCAGCCTCAGCCTGCCTCAGCATCAGCCTGCCTCAGCCTCAGCATCAGCCTGCCTCAGCCTCAGCCTCAGCCTGCCTCAGCCTCAGCCTCAGCCTGCTTCAGCCTCAGCCTCAGTCTGCCTTCAGCCTCGGCCTCAGCCTCAGCCTGCCTCAGCCTCAGCCTGCCTCAGCCTCAGCATCAGCCTGCCTCAGCATTCAAAATGTGGCCCGGGAGTCGAAGAACACGAAGTGGCCTACAGTTGGCTCCGGGCATTCAAAATCATGCCCAGGAATGGAGTTTTGGGAACTCGAAGACCACGAAATGGCCTACAGTTGGCTTCGGGCATTCAAAACATGCCCAGGAATGGAGTTTTGGAAATTCGAAGGCCACGAAGTGGCCTACAGTTGGTTCCGGGCATTCAAATTCATGCCCAGGAATGGAGTTTTGGGAACTCGAAGAACACGAAGTGGCTTACAGTTGGCTCCGGGCATTGAAAATCATGCCCAGGAATGGAGTTCTGGGAATTCGAAGACCACGAAGTGCGTTACTGTTTGCTAAAAAAAGAGTCCCCGGATTCCCGGCGCTGATCCCCGGATTCCCGCGGCACCCGTCCGACATCTGCTTAGACCCCCCTGGGGAGTCATGATGCTCTATTTTGAGACCATTAAACATCTATCAGTCTTCGCTGTTAGGTAACAGGAGGGCGAAGAGGGGGCAACGTAGGGAACGGGAGGAGGGCTTGCGCCAGGGCGAGGAGGAAAATGACGCAGAGCAGACAGTAAGGACGCTTCACCAATCACGGGGACGACGGTGAGCGCTATCTCCAGATAAACCGGGAGGATTGTCATGTGGGGTCCTACCGTCAAAATAACTAATTTTGTTGGCCCTCATCCGGTTCGGTTCACATGAGTTCTTCACCCGTCGCACTCGTCGGCCATACTGGCCGAGGGCGGTGTTAGAACATGGCCCTGCGACTGGGTAAGGAGCATCGCGATACAGGTAAGTCGAGCAGCCGTCGTTGCCGACGCTGTTTGGCTCAGTCACTTATCAATGGGCCGTCCGCCGAATCCCGCTGTTGGAACGCATCGTCTATATCTCACAGCCTTCGGCCCACCCGCCACCGTGCCTGGATTTTGTGCGTCAGGGCTATTGGATGTTCTTTGGGATCTCGTGGGGGGCATTGTGGGGGCCCTCTTGGAGGCAGGCCTCGTGTGGGCATCTTGGGACCTTTTGGGGCCTCTTTGACGCATCCTTGGGGCATGTTGGGGCGTCTTGGGGGCCTCTTGGGGGCCTCTTGGGGCCTCCTGGGCGCCTCTTGGGGCCTCCTGGAGGCCTCTTGGGGCGGAAGGCTCGGATTTTCGGATCGTGTTCCCTCTTTGGGGTAATTTTTGGGGTTGTCTTTGGACTTTGTTGGGTCTTGTTGGGCCTTTTTTGGCGCCTCTCGGGCGGTCTTGGGGCACTCTTGGGCAGTTTTGGGGCCCTGTTGGAGTCTTCTTGGGCCGCCATGGGGCGCTCTTAGGGGCTTCTGGGGCAGTGAGGGAATGTCGGGAAACAGAAACGGCGAGACCGCCGAAATCTTTCGAGCACTAAAGGGCAATCGTTGATTTCGGCTTCTTGGGGCCCTTTTGGGAAGCCTCTTGGGAGGCCTCTTGGGGCGTCTTGGAGGCTTCTTGGGCTGCCCAGGGGCCATTGTGACCGTCTTGGAGCGATCGTTCGGCGACTCGGGGCCCCCTTGGAGCGTTTTGGGAGTCCCTTGGGGTCCTCTGGGCCCGTTTTGGGGCCCTCTTGGGTCCGGCTAAGTAATGCGGGAACAGTATGCAATGCCCACGGGAACCGCGCCACGGCTCAGAAGATTTGGCTCGAGGGGCTCCGAACCCTTTTCAAATATTCCTCAGGGGTGAGGACTGCGGCTTAGAGGGTAGCGAGAGGACTTGGGGACGCCCATTCTGTGCCCAGTGGCACAGTGGCAGATCATCCTTGTGCCGTTCCCGTGCAAATCCTCCTCAGGAGTTTGCAGTGCGTAAGAGGGTGAGGAGGAGCGCGTAACAGGATAAGGAAGGGGGTGCGTAGTCCAGGCAGCCGTGCAGGGCAGGGGGCAGGAGAGGGCACGCCAGGAAGTCATCGGATGGCACCTGCGTGGCCTGCAGAGGGGACGGCACTGGCTGGATCGCCTTGTTCGTGTTCAGTGGAGGCACGCGTGCCTGCTGCGCAGCTCACGGCTTGTCCAGCGAATCTCGATCTTTCGACACGGGGACATGCGTTCGAGGGTCCATGTTGAAGAACGCATGCGCAGACATGACAGTCAACGAATCCCAGCGTCTTGACCGCGGGCTGTTCTGCGACAGAACTCATCCGCGCAAGCACCTGCGGTGTTTCCAATCCAAGTGGGGCTCGGGGCTAAGCACTCGTCTACGGTCATCAGACTTTGGGTGGCGGTCGTTTACCTGAGCTGTCGTGTGAACCACTCCTGGGGGAGAGAGTGGCAGGGTAGTTGCAAGGCAACGGTCAGCGGAGCACGCCCCCACTGAAGTGCGTTAGTGCACCCCGCCACCTTGCTTGAGTCGTGGGCCAGAGGCGGGTTGTATGCCGTTCGGGTTATCTTGGGATGGGGGCCTCGTGGTGGCTTCTTGGGGGTATCCTGGGAATCCTGTAGGCTATCTGGGGCCGCTTGGCGGCCTCTCTGGGGCCTCTGGGGGCCTCTCGGGCACTCTTGGGAGACAACTGGGGCCTCTTGAGGGTCTGTTGGTCCGTCTCAGGAGGTTCTTGGACCGCCTTGGGGGGTGCTTGGGCCGTCTTGCGGCTCCCTTGGGCTCGCTTGGAGGCTCTTGGGCCGTCATGGATGTTCTCGGGGGCCTTTTGGGCCGCCTTGGATTGCCGGAAGCCCAGGAAATCGACAACGTCCAGATCTTCCAAAACCGATTGACACTTTTTCATGTTTGCACATTCGGGCCCTCGTGGGAGACCTTTGGGGCCGTCTCACTTTGAAGGTACCCTTCAGGGGAAAGATAAGGTAAGAGCTGCGGTTGCTATGAGCAGCCTTATCGGCTCAAGCGGCGCACTGCCCGTACGAGGGGTTACTTTGTTACGCTATGTGAGGCCCCATGCCTCATCCGAGTCGACACGCCGTGGACAACGACTTGTTCCCTACCTAGGCTCTGCCTAGAAGGGTTCTTACTCTGTTAGCTAAAGGGGCCGGGCAATGCTAATCGCCCCGGGCGGTTCCCCCAGTCCCCGCCCCGCGGTTCCCCCAGTGACCTGGGAGCTTTAGCCTTAGCTTTAGCTTTAGCTTAGCTTTAGCTTTAGCTTTAGCTTTAGCTTAGCTTTAGTTTAGTGTTAGCTTAGCTTTAGCTTAGCTTTAGCTTAGCTTTAGCTTAGCTTCAGCTTAGTGTTAGCTTAGCTTTAGCTTAGCTTTAGCTTAGCTTTAGCTTAGCTTCAGTTTAGTATTAGCTTAGCTTTAGCTTGGTGTTAGCTTAGCTTTAGCTTAACTTTAGCTTAGCTGTAGCTCAGCTTTAGCTTAGCTTTAGCTTAGCTTTAGCTTAGCTTTAGCTTAGATTTAGCTTAGATTTAGCTTAGCTTTAGCTTAGCTTTAGCTTAGCTCTAGCTTAGCTTCAGCTTAGCGTTTGCTTAGCTTTAGCTTAGCTTTAGCTTAGCTTTAGCTTAGTTTCAGCTTAGCTTTAGCTTAGCTTTAGCTTAGCTTTAGCTTAGCTTCAGCTTAGCTTTAGATTTAGCTTTAGCTTAGCTTCAGCTTAGCTTTAGCCTAGCCTTAGCTTAGCTTTAGCTTACCTTTCGTTTAGCTTCAGCTTAGCTTTAGCTTAGCTTTAGCTTAGTGTTAGCTTAGCCTTCGCCTAGCTTTAGCTTAGCTTTAGCTTAGCTTTAGCTTAGCTTCAGCTTAGTGTTAGCTTAGCTTTAGCTTAGCTTTAGCTTAGCTTTAGCTTATCGATCAGCTTAGTGTTAGCTTAGCTTTAGCTTAGTGTTAGCTTAGCTTTAACTTAGCTTTAGCTTAGCTTTAGCTTAGCTTTAGCTTTGCTTTAGCTTAGATTTAGCTTAGCTTTAGCTTTAGCCTAGCTTTATCTTAGCTTTAGCTTAGCTTTAGCTTAGCTTTAGCTTTAGCTTAGCTTCAGCTTAGCTTCAGCTTAGCTTTAGCTTAGCCTTAGCTTAGCTTTAGCTTAGCTTTCGCTTAGCTCCATCTTAGCTTTAGCTCAGTTTTAGCTTAGCTTTAGCTTAGCTTTAGCTTAGCTTTAGCTTTAGTTGTTGCTTAGCTTTAGCTGAGCTTTAGCTTAGCTTGAGCTTAGCTTGAGCTTAGCTTCAGCTTAGCTTTAGCTTAGCTTTAGCTTAGCCTTAGCTTAGCTTTAGCTTAGCGTTCGCTTAGCTTCAGCTTAGCTTTAGCTTAGCTTTAGCTTAGCTTTTTCTTAGCTTTAGCTTAGCTTTAGCTTAGCTTTACTGTTGCTACTAATGCTGCTTTCCTAGGGGCTCCAACTCCTAGGTAGGGTCGCACTGGGATAATTTCCATCATCTCTACCACATTCCTGATAAGAATGAGATTTGCATGGGCAGCCTTTTTTCTCACTTGGTAGCGGAGCTGGCCGCATCACCGTTTGGCTATCTCCAGCTATCTACGGTGCCGACTGGGTAATTCATGCCTACTACCCTGCGTTTACTACTTTATCCTCCGTTCGATAATTTCTCACTAGTTGAGCCGTCAGGCAACCAGCTGGTTAACGACCTGGATTGCGACGTGCTTGCCAATACCGGCCGAGTGGGGATAGACATTGCACCATTTTACGGTATATTAGCCGCCGACTGCAGTCACCGACGCCCGGACATTGGTACAGGCCAGGACGGTGGCACACGCCAGGACATTGGCAAATGAAGGTAACGGCATCAGGATTCGGGCTGACGCCAGGACGCTGGCAGACGACGCCAGGACGCTGGCTGGCCGCGCTGGAGTCGCTAAAGCCTGGACGCAGGTAGGTATATCCCAGCGGTGCCTGCCTACCACCATGCCGCTTTCCAGGAAACTTGCGGCACAGGTCACCATCGCCAAAGAGCCGACAATCACACTTGCTCTTCCAGTGAAGCAGTATCGACAGTTTGACATCGTTTTCATCATGCGGGTCAGCCTTGGGTTAGCTGCGGGCCACATGGCACGAGGGATGGGCGACGCCAGTACAGTCCGACAAAGCATCGCTGGCCGCAAACAGTCAGCAGTGCACACCGACCTACGCTTCGATGTGGACTCACGCGGTTCGGCACCGAACATTTGGGCAAACAGCGACGATGAGCAAGCTTCCCTGTTGGGCAGCTCTTCCAAACGTTGTGACTACAAGTGGGACCGCGGGAACACCCAGTCTTCGGGGGTCACAACCCGCAGACATTCCCCGACGCAGCCGGCTATGTCGTCTGGGCTCTGACCAACCTATTCCCACCGACCAATATGCTAACTGCACCAGCTCATTTATCGATACTGATGCACAGTCGTCTGATGGCGACGAACGTTTTGACCTCACCGAAATGCAAGACCTACTTACTGATGGGGCAAAAACCGAACATCTGTTCATGGTACTACAGCACGCCAAGAGTAGATGGCGGAAAATGATGGAATCAGGAAGCCTTGCGTCGCGCACGTGGTAGAGAACGCCGTATTTTTAAGGGCCAGGGCAGGGGCAAAGGTAAGACGAGGGAGGCTAGATGCTAGAGGCATATGAGCATGTATGCATTCCCTTTTGTGATGCTACATGCGGCGACATTATTTGGCTGTGGAAGAGGTAATGCCGAGGACGTCGCTCAACGGGAAAAGGGGAAAGGGTTGATGGGGAAACCTGCTGGGCAAGGATGGCCAAGTATTGCAGCTCATTAGCTGCGGAAGTGGCTGGCATCTGACAGCATTACCCCATGGGTAACGGCAAGGGAACCGACGCCCATTTCGGTCCAACGAGATTTCCAGACAAGTATTCCGATTGCCGCGGACTCGGATCTGCTAGTCTGGAATATTCATCGTTTGCCAGTCCTGCGTGGGTGCCTTCGACGAGGTTGAGGATTGCCATCTTCGCCTCGAGATGTCCAGCGCGAGCGTCCGTTGGACGCTCGTCCGTGAACGCCTAACACGCGTGGCAACATGCCAGGGGGACCGCCGAGTCCAAGCGTCGCTCTTGCCGCGCAGGAAGGGCTTGATAGCGCTTTGGCGCTGTTCCATGAACCTGGGCATGGGCCCGACCGCGCGCCAGGCCGTAGCTAGCCGCGATCGCGGACTTTATCTCTGCGTGAGCCGCGAGCGTGGCGACGTGCATTCAGAGCCGACCGCCGCGATCAACGGCAACGCGCGCTGCTGCTGTGACGACGCGATGGATGTGACTGGCCGCGACCTGGCCGACTCCGTGTGTTTCGTGGGATGGCAGTGGTCTGATGCCGTTTGGAGGCAATGCGGGTCTCGGCAGAGATCAGCGCGAGATCATGCTGGGCGAATCGTTCGCGCGTCGGCAGCCCGTGCAACCTCGGCCAGCGTTCGACGAGGATGCAAGAGACAGCTCCATGGCGCGGGAGCAAGATAGTGTGTTCGTTGATTATTGTGTGGCGCGCGCCATGCGCCGGCCTGGGTGCCCGTGCCATTGCGACGAGTGTAGCTCCGACCGTGGCGCCGCGTCGTGCGTCGCAGACCGCGGCGAGGAGGCCCGCGCGCCGCTGCCGCGGGCTGACGTCGACGTTGCCGACCAACGTCGTAATCCTAGGGCAGATGCGCCAGCCGTGGCACCGGGGCCAGGCGCCGGCCAGGGGCCCGTTCCAGGTGATCAAGCACAGCAGCGCGCCGAGGAATAACCTCCAGAGGAAGGGGCCGAGGGCCCTCCCAGGGGGCCGCGGGGCGGGGGCCTCGGCCGCCTCCTCGAGCCGAGATGCAATCATGCGACGAAACCAATGCGAAGCTGAAGGGCGATAGCAACGCGCAAAAGCGGTCTGGCCGCTATCTGAAGGGCGATGGCAACGCGCAAAAGCGGTCTGGCCGCTATCTGAATGGCGATGGCAACACGCAGAGCGGTCTGGCCGCTATATCCCGGGCCGGACGAAAGGGGGGGTTTGGGAAAGGGGGGGGTACGATATTTGCTGCATGCAGCTGGTTTCGGCCTCACCGAGGGGCCCATTCCTCGATGCATGGCCGCCTCCGGCGCCGGGAGGCGCCGGGAAAATCAGCTACGTGAG